GGTTTACATGCCAAGCCAACTAAAAGCATCTGCCATGCCTCGAGCGAAGGACTAGAAATTAATGTAATTTCACTAAGGAATTTTTAACATGCGTTTGAAATCTCGCATTCTGATGAGGCTATCTAACAAAATGAAGTTGTGGTCCAAATTCCCTGACTATTTTATCAAAATTTCCTGACCAACACCTCAAGGGAAGGGACATGTCAAGCACAGTTCTCATGTGAAAGCACTGGCATACCTGACACTCGACAGAATGGTAGTCAAACACAGGATCATCTTCCCTTCTCAATCTATTCTTCAGTATTCTTGTTAAAAAGATGCCCCATTTTAAATAAACCACCGGGCAAACTTACGTCCTTAGGAGCAGTTAAAGTTATGGCAGTCTCTTGGCATAATGTTGTATAAGCATACCCACACTAGAGATCAGATTGGGCCGGAATTTTGGGGACCCACCCGACCCGGTCCAATAAAGTTCTGACCCAAGCCCGGCCAGAGTCTGAATATGGTTTGTGACCGTCGACTTGAGCCCGGCCCGACCAATAAATATTTATTTCCGCCCGAACCGGCCCGAGCCCGAATATAATTTTCGCAGTTTCTAAACTTGATATCCTATACATTTTCATCATGAGTGTAACCGCCCAGTTGAAGGCACCAACACGTATAACCATGAACACACATAGTAAGGCCATAAGTCACTAGGCCTTTCTCGTACGTGATTGGTTTAGCCATAATACAACATGTAGAAAACATGACGAACACCATAACATTGTGCTTTTGAACGCTGTTTGATTGGTCCCATTGGCTTGTACCGTCGGCTGTGTCCAAACTTAAAGGGATTGTCCGGTCGAAACCGGAAGTACATAAGTTTTTGCGCTCGTTACGTCGAGGAAGCCTTCATGTAGACAAGCAACATTTTTATTTTGATATATGATCTCCCGTTATTAACTAAACCTTTCAAGAGCGTATGTACGAAACTGCACTCCGAATTTCGCCAGTGTCAATGGCTGACATTTGTAGCTGCTGCGTGACGTCACAAAACGCAAAGGTTGGTCGGATGGTCGGGATCACTGAGTGCACGGGATAACAAGCGTTGGTCGATGGATGTCTTGTATTTTTGTTTAGAATTATATAGTCTCCGAGGCCAGTGGTTCTCAAATGGGGATCCGCGAAGGCCTTCTAGGGGTCCGCGAAGCCTTGCCTCATCAGTCAAGCCCGGCAATAAACGTTCTTTTTTCTCAAGTCGAAATGTGTCAGTTTTCGGGCGAGTTTTTTCGTGTGAACGTCAATAAGAGGGGTCTACTTCACACTAGCCCTTAGTTATATCCATTTATTAAATGATTATTATATTTAACCTATACCTTTTTCTCTCCTCACATTACGAACGGGGTCCTCCATCATCTCCGCCGGTCCACAAGGGGTCCGCGAAGCATCGATGGTTGGGAACCACTGTCCTAGGTTGTACCCTACTGAAATAAGGTTTTTATTGCAGTTGCCAAGCACGTGCAAAAAAGACACGCCTTTTAGCAAGATATTACTCGAAAACAGCCATAAGCTTCGAGCAAACGTATGCTGTTTTGCGCGCAGACTACATTACTCGAAAACAGCCATAAGCTTCGAGCAAACGTATGCCGTTTCACGCGCAGACAACTGCGACGGCCACCGATCAAATCAGGAGCGCTTGCAAAGCAAAGGATGCAGATTTCACCTCTGAATAGGCAACTAGGTACACGAAGCGGTATCTGGGTGCACCCTTGGGGTGCACATAACGGCAAATCCACTGGATCGGTGATGAGGCTGCGGGTGCTTCCCTCAGAGGCGATGAACGCGGGTCGAAGACGACCGGCGAATCGTTCAAATGCATGTCGCCACTTGACTTGGACGAGCTCGGTGAATCGTAGCCACGCTCCATTTGCACATGCGGGTCAAACAGAATTTTGCTGCACGCGTGCTAAATACAACTTCTGGTATTGTTTCCAGGTGGTCTAGCTGTTGGTTTCGGTTTCACTGCATAAACAAATTGATTGATCCGATCTGGGCGAGGAGTGGATGGACGTTGTTTAATATCGTCAGAGCATCACACGTCAGCTTACGAGCCTTTCGTCTGCTGAACTCAGCTCGTAGCTCTCTTCTGTGAGATGATTGCTGCATAAGCGGGATCTCGATCTTGATGGGAACCCAGTCCCCATGCAAGGCGACGATCCATTTTGCTCGTCACTGCACGTCTCGCGGAAAAGAGTGGAACGTCACGTCTTGGCTCGCATGTGCTGCCCGGTGGTTGTGGCACCCAACTGCACAACAAAAGTCTCACGCAACCACGAAACAAGTCGAGCACAACAACAGAAACGAAGCACGGTTCACTTGCAGGAAAACGACGAGACAGAAATGCTCGCTTTGTGTTGTGTGACGTCAGAGCTCCAATGTTGCCACCGAAAACAGCGTTTACGCTAAAGTGCGATTGGAGCAGCATAAATTCAATTTCTCAAGCATAGGGGCATATAAAATTCAGATATCACACGTACGATGCGTCTCGAGGCAATAACAATGATAATCAATTGTTTTCTTGAATACAAAATTTGACCAGACAATCCCTTTAAGGTAAAACAAAATATAGATTTGGCAAGGTCGATTTGTTGGGTCCCGACATCTCAACCCCAACCCGACCTGGGCCCGACGCGGCTTTAGATAAATAGGCCCGAACCTGGCCCGAGTGCGAACAGGGTGTTGAGATATTGGCCCCAGCCCGACCCAACAGTCGGGCCGAGTTCAGACTTTTCAGACTGACTCGAGCACATGCAGAACATTAACCCACCCTACATTGTTATTCATTCAAAGTAAATATTGTGACGAAGAAGAAGATGCGGCAAGACGACGCCGACGGTGGAAAAAGAGGGCGATGCCGGCGGTGCACGCTCTGAAGGACTAACCACCATATCTGTGTTTCTAATTCTCTTCACTCTATAGTAAATCATTTTCATTATCAACGTAACATTTTGGTGGAGGTGGACACCATCCCCCTACCTCTACGCTGCCCACGCTGGACCTCTGGAGCCGCCAGCTTCCGCCTCCGGAAGCTGAGATCTCCATAGACACACCAGCTACTGAGTGTCACCCACCCAATCGAGCACCTTCCCGACCGTCGGATATCACTATGGACACCTCGTCGCCTGCGGACACTGAACCCTCCCAAGACCCTCCCCCGCAAGCTCAAATGTCTCGTGACACCACATCCAGAGACGCCGGTCAAACCGCTCAAGCCCCTCCCTTGGTCCTCTCCAAACCGCGTGACCCAGGAAACTTCCCTGGATCCGGTGAACAGGACGTTGAAGAATGGCTTCTTCTCTACGAGCGAATCAGCCAGCATAACAGATGGGATCCAACTATTATGCTTGCCAACGTTGTGTTTTACCTCAAGGACACTGCCCGCACATGGTTTCTCACACATGAGGAAACAATCACATCATGGGACATGTGCAAAGAGAAACTCCAGCATCTCTTTGGCGACCCCACTGGTCGCAAGCTGTCCGCTAAACGCAAACTCGCTTCACGTGTGCAGTCACCTACGGAGTCGTACATGACGTACATACAGGACATCCTGTCCCTTTGCCAGAAAGCGGACCCCAACATGCCCGACTCGGAAAGGCTCCCCCCCCGTCTTGAAAGGTATCGCGGACGACGCATTCCAGCTACTCGTCTTCAAAGACTGCACAACGATGGAGGACGTTGTCAAAGAGTGCCGACGCTTTGAAGAAGCAAAGAAACGACGAATCACCGCAAATTTTGTGCGCCTCCCGTCACGACACAACCGGTTTTTCGCCATTTTACCTACTATTCTATCGCGAGCCCAACCTTATGATTGACACCCTTCTTCCACTGCAAACCAACGCCCCACTTACAGATCACACCTCCGAAGCCATATGCCGCGTCGAAGAGGCACGCCAACTAGCACGGCTACAAACACTCGATTCGCAGGAACGACAGTGCGCCCGCTACAACCACCTACATAGTGCAGTTTCCTATTTGCCGGGCGACCTTGTTCTGGTATGGACGCCTCAACGACGTGTTGGTCTCGCTCAGAAAATGTTTCCGCGCTACACCGACCCCTATCGTGTCGTCGCACGAGCGAGTGATGTCACCTATGTGGTGGAACCATTACAACTCTCTCACGATACACGCCACACTCAAGCCGACACCGTCCACATTGTGCGACTCAAACCATACATAGTTCCAGCTAACGGCGAGACGCCGTTTTCGCCCGGAGGGGGATAATGTGAAAAAGAAGAAGATGCGGCAAGACGACGCCGACGGTGGAAAAAGAGGACGATGCCGGCGGTGCACGCTCTGAAGGACTAACCACCATATCTGTGTTTCTAATTCTCTTCACTGTACAGTAAATCATTTTCATTATCAACGTAACAATATTATAATTCCAATCTTTTTGAACGTTACACTGCACATTAAAGTGCCCAAGAGTCAAGATTGAAGCCAAACATAAGTATGAAGTCATAATTCTGTTAAAATTTTTGTTTTCCGGCTTCAGAGTTTTATTTTGAATAATGTGACTCCACCCAATTCAGAAGTCTTTGATTGTTACCCTGAACCACTATCCGTCGTTTGCTGTCACTCAAAGAAAGGAAAGCTCAATCTCCTCCACCAGTGCTGCTTGGGGTGGAAATTTTGTGACTTTTCCAGACTTGCCCGATTCCCCGACAATTTCTAGTTTTCCCGGTTTTCCAAGTTAGTGGACACCTGGACAGTGAGCCCCTGTCAAATCCCGGGCAGCTTAGCTGGGATGTAAACCCACCAAATAAACATCCACTTTTTTCCCTCAGAATCACTGAGGCAGCCTTACACTTGTCGTTGCTTGGACACGGCAGCTACACATCGTTTTTTCACGAAAGACGGCGGCTAAGACTGCAGTACGAGTGCGACTTTGTGCCACATCGTAGCAAATTACACTAAATTTTCGCACGCAGGTGAAAGTATGTGCGTTAAACACTCACCCTGTCTATGTGCGTGACATTGCGTATCCCAAAGCTGATGGTGTAGGCATCGAACAGGTTATCACCAAAGGGAAGGTTCTCAGCATCGCCCTGGGTCCACGAGATATCTGCAAATGGGCCAGTTGCAAGTTAATGGATTCAAAATCTCCAACAATTGGGACCGAACACTGCAAGAAATTCTTAAAGCAATTTCAGAAGGAGGAAAAGCTGCATTTCAGAGATGATTTAAACCACAGAATATGCTTTCTGAGGCAGTAGGAAAGCAACCTGCAAGCTTTGAAAGATGTTAGAAATAAAGAGGTAGGAACTATACATTGCTTGTAGCAGTAATGTGATTGATTCGAGTCATCCTGGAGCACCGTTTGGAGCAGCAAAAAACTGCTGGAGCACATTACACTCAAGTGCTATTTCAAGATTCATGTGTTTGCCTCTCTAAATAAAAAGCAGTGCTTCGAATTGGCCTTCACATTTCTGCACGACGATTCATTACATCTACTGCGAAGTAAATCACTAAATTTCAAAGGTAATTTAGTTCTGCACATCAGTGGCATCTTACATGTGAAGATTTATGAGGGTGAAAAGTCAGCATGTGGAGAATAAATATGCTACAATAAAACAGCTAAATTATTAATGGTATTCCCCAACTTCATTTCATTGTTAAGTTAATTTAATTTCAACTTAAACTTAATTACCATAAAATACCAGAGAAGCACCCACCCCATTTTTACTGAAAACTGGGTTAATCTAGATATGGGCACTGGTCCGGTCAAATCAGGCGGTTAAGATATAATTTGCAGAATTCGATAGATTGGGAAATGTTAATAGTGGATGCTTGGAGAAAGTGGGCACTTCTGCGGTATTTCACGGTAAGTGTGTCCACGAACAGTTGGGGGCCTATTTAGACGTGATAACTAAACATAAAAAATAAATCTAAGGTAGCAGTCCAGATACACCTAACCACTGTGATCCATCAACCCTTTCTCAATACCAAAGTTCAAAGTAACCTTCCTTAAATCACGAACATGAAAACTTTTAGCCTTTCCACTTTGGCGAAGAAGGAAGACCAGCGAAGCTGTATTATGGTGGAAATGAAGTAATGACCGGCCGCAAGTCGGCACGCTAGAGTGGAAAGGCTCGAAAGGTTGCGCCATCTATGAGCGACGGTGGCAAGCGGACAGCCGGCAAACAACACTCTGGACAGCTACCGCCATCTATGAGCGACGGCGGCAACCAGAGTTTTGTGTCGACATTTCTTTGCGGGGGGCACAATCCTGGTTAAACAAGCCCTTAAAAGCTCCGCTGTAAAGGAACATGACTGTGACAAGTAATCCGAGTGACTTGCCAGAATGTTGCATTCTATCATATCAACTAACCGCAATTTTATTATACAAATTTTACTGCCACGTATATGTTGTCGGTAAGCATTCATCAATTTTTTTTAATTATTTTTAATACACGACACGCAGTCGTGTACCATTCCACCCTGAAGGAGTGTTTTACCCCTCAGCACAAGGCTGCGCTGTGGCGAGGCCATATACAGAAAATCATGAATTTTACTCTGCAGGTGCAGCTTCCCTGTAGTACAACAGTGAGCAGTGAAAAGTGCACTCAATGGAGGTAATTAAACTGCCGGAGCAGACCACAAGCATTGAGAAATGCCCCAAAGCTTCCGAGTGCTGTGTCGTATTCGATAAAAAAGATCACACCGGACCACACGTTATTCAGAGCGATACACAGAAGTGTCAAAAGTTTGTGCAGGTTTACCGTAAAGGCCCGTTCACACACTTGCAACCGAGTTTGACCGAGAGACATGAGACCTGTTGAAACCTCTTAAAATTTCTTAGGACGAGAGAACACACTGGCACGCTGGCACCATCTACGCGGTGACCCTGGAACTATATTTCACAAGAGCGAAGGTTTTGCGGGATTTTCAAGGTCAAATGTGTGTAACACCTATAAGGAAGGCTCGTTTATAACGTTGACAAAGTTTTTCGAGCGAAGAAAGAAAGGATAATGCGCGAGAGAAATAGAAAATATGCCGGACCACCAAGTTTACACTGCTACCCAATAGATGGCGCCAGTGTGTCCTCTCATTGTAAGATGTTTCAAGACACCCAGTTCTAAGAGGTCGCAAGAGTGTAAACGGGCCTTAACAATCTGGCAGTGTAGCAACGACTGAACCATTAGTTTTTGTTCTGATGAAATGAAATGACCTTTTGGCACAGCGTTGGCACAAATTACACATATTTTGGTAAAATGGATCAAGATGTAGCAGGGTAAGCACTTTGGCACAGCAATCACATCACAGTTGATAGCTTAGCAAAAAAAAAAGAAAGAAAAAAAAGGTAAGGACAGTGCTGAGAAAATTACTTCATTTATTGTACCTTATTAAATCAACATCTTGCGCAACATTTCAAACTGATCTGGTGCCTGTCCGTAGGGACCCGGCAAGCGCCTACGACATAATGTCTACATTAAAGAGACTACAGAAAATCAAGATCCCTGCGTATTAATCCATACTCAATGTACCAACACAAAATGTAATATCCCGAGCCGTTGCCCACCCCAAATTTTAAGTAAATACTGATTACTGTAGACCTTTACAAATACCTCGACATGGACTCTGCGATCCGTGAAAATTCGACCTACCCGAATGGTGCGGCCACAAACCTTACGGTTTCGCGCTGTACATCGATCGGCGGTGTTCACCATGTGTATACAAGCAACAAACTTCGCAACAGTAAAACATTCTTTCATGAGCACTTCTTGTATAAAACAATGAAACTAATTTGAGTTTTTAATTTACTGTATCTCCTGTGCAGCCACACTAGACACATACAAATATAATGGGCATATTTTATAGCTTTTTCTAAACTTCTTGTGCTTACCCGCCGAGACATGGCCCACCCCTTTTTTTATGAATTTCAGGTGACAGGAGGACAGACAATGGTTCAGGGTATTACAATTGTATTGCTAAAGAGGAAAAATCCATCTTTATTTAATGATGCAAAGCAGAAAGTGCAATGAGCAGTGAAGTTATGTTTACAGCTAGTTATCTTTTACCTATAAAATAGTTTTTGCAGCGGAGCTATTAAGAGCTAATTTCCCCAGAATCGTGTCTGCGGATAAGCGGCGAGTCAACACAAAACTCCAGACAGCTACCGCCATCTATCAGTGACAGCAGCAACCAGACAACTGGCATGCCGGTTTCTCTGGTTGCTGCTGACGAGACTTTTGAGACGACAAAAGCGCGAAACGAGACACAGTGGGAAAATCCTGCAAGAGAAGATGGACGATTGATGTAGGGAACTTTATGTCGGGCGGCCGCTTGCACCACCTAACTCACGCATGCTCAATTACGGTGCTCAGTTTAATTTTGGTCTTGAAAGGCGACCGAAATTGGTCCTTTGGCGCAGGCTTTGTGCATATTACCCATATTTTGGCGAAATGTAGCAGGATGTATCAGGGTTGGCCCCTAGGCGCAGTTTGGTGCAATCGGCGCAGCAATCACATCACTGCCCTGACCATCAATCAAGCCAAGCAATAAAACTTATTTTATTACTGATGCTGGCTGTCCCATAAAACTAAAAAGTAGACTAAACCATGTGTTCCGGGTTAGTAGGGTCAATTACTCTCCACTCCAGAGCTTCAGAGTTGATATGCAAACATTTAGTTTTCGCTTATTTACCGCTTTGTCATTGCAATCGTCCGATACCCCCCACCCCCCAGTGAATGGGGTCCCTCACCATGCACCTCTGTTGAACCAGAAGGGGTCGCCGAAAGATCACTGGCTGAGAACCACGGTTATAAATTACTATTTTTCATAGCTGGCACATACATTCGATCTTGTAAATATCACAAAAACCTTTACTCCAGTGAAATACAGTTCCAGGGTCGCCGCATAGATGGCACCGGTATGCTAGTGTATTCTCTAGAAAGCCCGTATTACAGGGTTACCAAATGGTCGATTGGGGTAACATGGTTTATGAGCCACGTTGCCACATTTGCAACATGAGCTGCGGGGAGGTCACGAAGGCGTTGATTGTCTGCAAGCGTCTCTGCCTTTCCGCCTGCTTTCCTCCTTGCCATGCGACTATGCAGTGCACGCACACTTGCAACCAATCGGCGCGGGAGGCATCTGCCATTAAATTGCAAACACTCCCTACGGTTTGAGATAAACCCCCTCAACAATCCAGGCTCTTAAGATTCTACAAGGCCTAGAGGATCCTCTCCCGTCATAAAAAATTTTAAGAGGTTTTAAGGCGCACGGTTCTAAGCAGACGGAACTGTGCGAGCTGGCCTTTATAGGCTCACAACGATTTGCTACCCATACCAAAAAAAAAATAAAGCTGCATTTAAAGATTTCATTTCTGCGAAAAGTGGTTCTTTTTTATTCAAGAAAAGCTTCGATGATGAAGTTATTTTTTTTTTTGTTGTTGTGTTTCCCCGATTTTGATAAAACCGGCTCGGGAGCTTAATTGTTGGCGTTTATTGGTGCTTACCGAAAACACAGAACCCTGGTTTTAAGTGACCATTTCCCATAGGCAGTGTGTAGAGCTGGTCTCGCCAGTACTACAAAACCTTCGGCCCAGATGCATGCAGACTGGATGTGTTCCAGGGCTGCCCAACAGATAGTGTCAGTGTGCCAGTCTGTTTTCTCGTCACAAGCGATTTCAATGCAGTAGATCACAGCCTTCAGCTGACCGTAGGAAATGGGTTGCGCCAAAGTCACAGTAAGCCAGGTGAGGCTAGCCATAAAAGGTATTCCTCCTCCATTTCAAATTCGATCAACAGTAGTGTACCTGCACAGGCGTCTTGAATTCTGCACTGATGTAGTTGGCTGGTGGAAAGAGGCTAACTTCAAGACGAGGTCTCCAATAATAAACATTGAGGGAACCCCGTCCGAAGCCGCACGTGTTTTCCTGCCCCTGTTTAACCACGACGTTTTTCGTGGAAACGAAGAGAGCAGCAAAGACTGCCGTCACCTGGGTAGATGTGTCCCTTGCTCCTCTTCCCTGCCGAGAGCATCTCTCGGTTGATGTCCACCACGTGGGCCCTTGCGACTTCCCTCGCGCTCCCCTCGCTCTCCGGGGGAAAGCTGCTCTCGGCTTGCAGCTCCTGGTAGCGGGCCGCATTAAGAAACCGGATGGAGACGTCCCCTGAGAAAAACAAAGAGCCGGACGGGGTCACATCAGTCATTCATCCATAGAATGCCTACTATAGGAAATATTCTGTTCGGTTAAGCACGGTGAATTTACCAGAAGCTGGAGTTTTCTAAAGGGCCATAGAAACAAAAAGGAGTCTCAAACCGTCCTTTAGAAAAGCACAGTCTCGGGTAAATTCACTTTAACCTGCACCAGCTAGCTTGCACCCTCGTTCCTTCGTTTTCTAATTTTGCTCAGACCTACCGAACACTAAGGCAGATTTTTCCCGACCCTTGCAATATGTTGCCGAGATTCCTTGACCTTTTCTTACTTTCTCGAGTTGAGCTCCACAATAACTCCAGGTGTCCGTCGGTAGGCCCACCTTTTCTTTTGGCAAAGGAAGTGTCGTTGGCTGGGTTGTTACGGGACATTGCAACGAGGCACAAAATATCAAAACCTCGGACGTCCAAAATCCAAACTGAAAGTCCCGTGACACCAGCAGCTTTTACCATCTCAGCTCATGCCAACCAAAAAAAAAAAAAAAAGATGCCAACTTTGTTTGCTATTGTTCGGATGCGCACAGGCAGCAATCTTGATTTCTTCCGATCCCCGCTGGCACACCAAGAAGCAGAAAAGAGTTCCACATAATGCAGAACAGCTGATTACCCAAGAACTTCATTCAACGACAACCATCTTAAAACCAAATGCCCACTGCCGAGAAACCATGAAGCCAAGATAAAAGCAATCTGAGCTGCTGCCCAACCACTCCTTTTGCAGTGCAAGAGCCACTATGCTGTTTTCTACAACATCATTTGGTCCTCTTATGATAGAATTTACCCATCCAGAAAGCCAGTGAAGCGTCACGCACCTGTTCCTCCCGCCACATCAATCAGCTGCATGCCTGGGAGGGGGCCAAGCACCGAGATGAGTCTGTCCTTCCACAGCCGGTGGATGCCCGCACTCATGACGTCATTCATCAGGTCATAGTTGTCTGCTACGCTGTCGAAAACCTCCCGCACTGCACAGAGGATCAAACTAAGTTGTGTACAGAGGCATGCGAACACAGGCTCCTGCTGGTATGAGGCAGAGCTCTCCAATTCATGAATAATGCCGAGCATGCGCTGACGGGCTGTAACACATACCTTGAGTTTATTCGTGAAAACTTTGCAATAAGATAAGGTGCATGCAACAAGTGCCTTGCGGGTTTACCTTTTGCAGGTCTGACGCCTCATTCACACTGGCAATTGAACAGGATTTGCAGGGTGGTTACAAAAATGGCTGCTTAAATATTCAGTCCAGTTTTGCATGCATTCGATGACGAAAATGAGTCAATCTGCCTCGTGGGTGTGATTCGAATGCCAGTGTGAACGCAGCATCACCCCATAATAAACCCAAACAAAAAACATGGCAGCTTGCATAGTGCCCTTGTAAATAAAGCAAACCGTTTCACTAACAATTTGTCAACTGTTATTTTATATTTTCAGTCACTTAACAGGTGCCCCTTTAATCCTACTTTTGGGGAAAAGAGGTGATTGCACTAGTAGGCACGTCATATTCATGCATACGAAGGATTGTGATAAACCCTCCTCTTGATGATCTTACATGCATTAGACATCATATGTCCCAGATTGTTACGTGCATTCTACCCTGCTGAAATACAAACTCACGATGGATCATGCATAGTTCAGGTCTATTTGTCAGGAAGGTGTGGCTACCAGTAATGGATAAGCCAAGCTGCATAGAAAATGGAATTCCAGATGCTCCAACAAAGTGCTGTGTCAAATTCGTTTGAATAATTTTGCCCCAATTTTTTAACAGACAGTGTCAGTACTTTATAGTTTCTTAAAACTGGTATATGGGTGCTTGTCAATTGGTATTCACACGGGGGAGAAATCCATCCCTTTGTTCCCCAGGATACGCATCGGGTAGTAACAACACCCCGCCCTTACGCGGAGACACGCTGTTGCAGACATCCCAGGAGGATGGGGAAGCTTTTGCTTGGGCTGCACAAACAGTCCTGCCCTTGGCGAGGAAGCTCTCTGCATTTGGCAGTATTTTGTTCACGTGTCTGGCAATTTTACAGATATAGATCTGCGGGATAGCAGCGGTGGTACCGGGATCACCTTACTTGCTGTGGCTTGCGTTCTTCCTCATGCCATCCAAGGCACCCAAAGGAGTCTTCATTATTCATCAATGCCATCCTTAAGATGTTCCTCATACGACAGGTTTTGGTCTCCAAATTCTTTGTCTTGCATTCACCCATTCAAGACGCATACTTTTTTAGCAGGAAGCAGTTTGTCTTCTACATCTAACAGCACTGCTGAAATAATTGTATATCGCCGTTTCATGTACGCTTCCATTTTTTTACTCTCGACAGCGCCCACCAAGCCCTGTTGTCACGAAAGCAAACTCTAAATGCGTCAGATAACACTGCATCCCTCTCGGCTGCCTGCCGTTCGTGTAAATGCTGGAATCAAGGAGGGAATCCCGCTGATTCCGCCAATCACCGACATAAGCACATCCCTCCCCAAAAAGCATCCACCATGTGAATACCCCTTTAGGTCTAAGAGCAAAAATGCAGAAGGGGCATGTGATAGGCTGGGCTTCACCACTTTCCACTGGGGTGCTCAAAGAAGTGGCCGATGAAAAGCATCCCCGTTAGCTAGGTGGGCAACGACTCCTATATAGCAAAGCCACAGTGCTGAATTTTTTATGTCATCTAAAGAAACCGACGTAGGGCACAGATTGAACATGAGTGCTGCATCAGCCTTCAGCTAAGAGTCATATGGCCACGGGCCCGACGGAACAAGAACATCCTCACGCCGCCCACCATGACCTGAAGTCATCCATGTCGTGCGAACCAATCACATAATAATCAATGGTGTAAATATTACGATTGGCAGTCCTCATAGTGCCTTAATGTTCTGAGTACATTCGATAGAACAGTGTTCTATCAACCTCCGTATTTTCCCACTCTTCTGTTTGTTTTGCTCCCTTTTGTTTTATAGCATGTTGCATTGAAACAATGCTCTTTTTAAAGGGGGGAGTAATGCCACGTGTGTCTGCGAGCAAGCATGCCCAGGGCGGAACGGTCATCATGCTTGGCTCCCATGCAAAAGGCCGAGGTTCGATGTTTGGCCGCGGATGCACCTTTTTGTTGTTTCTGGAAATGTCGCGTTGTGGTAAATTTGAGAACCCCGTTGCTTGTTTTCAGGGGTCCGAATAATCTACGAGCCGAACCTTCTAAGCCATTTGTTCCAGACGCTCATGTCTGTACATAAGGTGCTCCGCGTGGCAAGCAGGAGTCAGTCTCGCCCCAGCGCTTGATCCTGCTGTTTTGCCGACATCGACGCCAGCCTTATTCTATTCTGATTTGGGCACAAGTTCACCCCATTAAACGCTTAGTTTCCTTCAGTCATTCGTCGTCTCATCAATTGTCATCCGTGAGAATATTCACGCATCTTGAACACAAGTCTCAGCCAAACGCTGACACAGTACTCGCGTGCAACCTGAGCATACTTTGTTTTCAATCATTCGGAATGTAGTGAATGGGTGCCTATTCTGGCAAGGGCACATGCCCGGTGCTTTACGGTATGTCATCAGCTAAAATGCGGCAAATCACTACCTGATGTAACAAATGTAGCCAATTTCTCCAATTCTCGAAAAGTATTGTCATACCAGGACAACTGTGGACTGTCTTTCTATGCCGTTTACCCCAGCCACAATCTGAAAAGAGGTCAGCCATAAGAATGAAAAAGGAAAGAGCTAGCCACTATATCAATCACCCAGTAACAGTATGCACACTGCTCAGTACCTACCACCAGCTCCCTGGCTGCTACCGCTTACATTAAAAAAGTAACTTGAAATGTTTTCTCTGAGGCTCCTGCGCCAGGTTGTGGCTGCAGTGTGGCAATTTGTGGAGCACTGAAATTATGCTGACATTGTGAGAATGTTCTCTGATTGTCTATTTGTGTAGCAGAGTGCAGGAAATAGTGGTAATCAGTTCACAGATACAGCCTTGACCTTTTCATTGACCAATTATTTTGCAGGATGTGATTTGAACCAATCACAAAATAATCAATGGTGTAAATATGACGATCGGCAGTCCTCATAGTGCCTTAATGTTCTGAGTACATTCTTAAAAAATATTAGGATGTTTTAGAATAGCGTATGCAAAAGCTTTGCGTACGCAAAGGATAGCGTTGTCACCACTGTGCATGTGCAGAACACTAACCATGTTTTGCACCTTGTGTGCGCTGTTTTATTGTAAGCTATATTTTGGTAATTGCATGCATATGCAGAGTCTTAGCAGTCCTCCAAGAAGGATTCGTGATGCGCGAGATGTTGGCTAAAGCCAATACAAGTACAGTTAGAAAATGGCAGCTTCCACGCCTGCGGCTGCCAAGGCTGTGATAGCTTTAGCAGTCGTCGTAAGCACGACGTCGGCGGCAACCTCACCAGTGGGATTTTCAATTCAGGCCAACATTACTCCTACGGGAGGTGCACATTGCCAGCGACTTGCTGCTTGCGACGGGCGAACATTTCTCGGCGAAGGTACGGTGTGCGAAGGTCAGTACAGGATGAGACCTCTCTTGCCGAGGCAACGCAAGTGTATGCATCCAATCGACCACTCATATTGCATTCTCATGTTTAAACAAATCTAAATTGCTACTCTGCACCAAAAAACTTTTTTCTCAAGTTACAGCATTTCGTGTGTGAAATAAAAATTGTTACTGTATCTTGATGGCGTAGCAAGTGCAAGATGCTTGGGTTTTTTGCGCCGCGGCAGAGAAGTGCTATTCTAAAGCTCGCTTGCATAGCGCACTAGTGTGGGTTAAAATTGCATTCATTATTCTAAAACTTTCTATTACGCAGTTTGTAGTGTTAATTAACTGCAAGTTGCATTAGTAATTGTAACTGGCGAAGTATTGCTTGCACAGGTTAGAATTGCTTATAATTCCCATAACAGCAAAGAGACTGAAGGAGAAAATACTGTAGCATACACGCTAAAATAGTGATAAGAATCGCCATCTTCTGAATGAGACGCCGGAATCAGCAGAAAAGCCGTGTGCAAGCTAGAAAACACCACCTCGTGGCATTGCATGGGTGGCACTCAGTGGCGGTCAGATTGGAGTCTGTACTTACCTCAAAGCTTCAGAATGTTTGTGCAATATGCAGTTCACATAATAGAGATTGCCATCCTTAGAAGATGGTAAGTGGAAGCACAGTCTCAGCACACGCTAAAGAGCAGCAACAGCTCCAGCATGCATTTCACATTCTACAGCTCACGAATCCAGGCATAGTGTCATACGACTAATTGTTACCAAAACAAATGTGGTTGGTGAGTACACACCGCGCATGGTACTCACCTGCCGCATTTGCGTTGGTACCAATTAGTTGTGCGACACCATGCTGGGATTTGCGAGCTGTAGCGTACAAAAGGCAGACACTCTCTACCACCAGTGTCACATAGCGGGTACTCTCCAAAACATTGCGCAGTATTTTCGGGTGCACCTACTATCTGGCAGTGCAGGTGCACATTTAGCTACATATGTGCTGCAACTTTGCTTGCATGTTTCAGATAATAATGTCCTTCATAGTACCCCCAAGTTTGATGGCACAAAAAAAGCACTCGGAAAGGACAGAGTCAACATGCTCATTTTTGCACTTGTAGCAGAGTTTGTTTTCATCAATTTACTCCGTGAAAAAAAGTGTGGGACATGCAACCAAGTCTGGGACTTGAGCCTTCAACGCTATCCTTGCAGAAGCATTGTAGAGTACATTTACGGCCCGTGGGTCATCGGTGGCCGAGGGTGTTGGTGCACCGCAGCCCACAGAACGAAGAACAAAGGCTCACGTTGCAGAACCGAGGGTTCCTAGGATCAATCCACAGCCCCGCCTGTTTCAATTTTGCGAGCATTGTACCGGCGTGCAGTTGTGTATCGCTACTGCGCAATGCAGTTAAATAGGACCCCAGGCTAGAAGCTGTACTGCACTGGCTAAATTTCTCATCTACAG